AAATTGTCACTTCTTATAAAGCAGTAATAACCATATGAAAGTAAAATATAAGGATATTAATAGTACTGTTAATAATAATAATTATTATTATTATTTTCCTTGTCTTCATTGTTACTGTAATTGTAATCGTCATTACAGTAAGGTCGCATGATGGAATTTTATGTTGATGATGTTTAACAAAGCTGATCGCCGTGACCTCGCGGTCTAAGGAATGAACTATCTTCGCCCGCTCTAATGCTGGGATCGTAGGTTCGAATCCCATTTAAGTTATGGTTGTCTGTTTGCGCGTTTATTTTTGTGTTTGTGTTGTCCTGTGTGTAGGTAGCGGCCTTACGACGAGCTAATCACTCGTCCAGGGGTCCTACTATCCGTGTAAAAACTTTACGGAACTGAAGAAAAATCCAAGGCCCAAAAAAGGCCTGTAGAGCCATTGATGTATGAATGATGTTGAACAAAATGTGAAGTTAATGAATTCTTGTAAGATTTGAGGCTTTCACGGCGGTGACTATGAAGAAAGCAGTCTTCTGGGATTTGGCACCGTGTATAAGTGGTGTTAACCGACGTTTCGGAGGAACGTATCGCCTCCATCTTCAGGGTAGAAGAAAATATAAGAATTCTGCAAGCGAAGAGACCGTGAGAACCGGTAAAAGCAGACTGTGTATATNTTTGAATGACAGCAGTAAACTACTTTAAAAACAATAAAATGTTACAGGTGGATGGACTCCGGCAGCAAAGCAACGGCGACGAATCCTCAACTGAGCCCTGAGATGCCCGTCACAGTAGCAAATTTGAAACAAAATAATGTGATTGGTGGTGGCGCTGTTAGCGCTAGTCAGAGTCTTAAGCTACCCAATTTGCCCCTCGCAATTTCCAAAAGCGATATTGATAATGATACGAACTTATCTAACAAGCAGTATGATAAAATCCACGATAAGAACGAGGAGAACCGTCGATTGCTTGGTACTAGCGGTGTGCCTCAGAAGAAGACAGTTATTGTGCCTTCGTTGTCTGTTGGGACAGTTGTGCCAACCAACGGCTTGAAGCAGAGTCCCGCTGTGTCACCGACAGGTAAAAATGACAGTGTGAGTGTTGGCATTCCCCCAACCCCTAATGGAGGTATAGCAAAGACTGAAGATTCGAAACTACAGAACAGGAATGGAACAGGGAGCAGGCGGTTACGACGTCCTCAGTTCATACCAGAACTCGAACTTCCGGGCCTTGGTGAAAGTATTCGAGCAGGACACACTCTCCCGCTAACAATGTCTAGCCTCAGATCGCTAAAGCTGGAGGGTGCGAATGGCCCTCAGCCAATCATCGCAACGCCAGGCCCCAATTGGAGAAGCTCGTTCTGCTTCTCGGAAGCTGCAAGTCATATCTCGGTGCGGTCCCTGGCTTCCATCGGTATGGGCTCCACCGATGGCAGGAAGGTCACAATTCGACGGGTACCCACTTCTCCCACCGAGCTCTTCAACGTCGTTCAGTCTCCCACGTGAGTAGCAATGCTTGTGTGTAGCATTAACGGTAATTATTTTGTTTCGCTGGATCTGTTGTTCTCACGGCGGTGAATAAGAAGAGTATCGTAGACTGCGTTGCAACGCCGCAGTTAGGAGACAGCCCCAAGTTACGGAGGAACTTAATCCTTTGCGGCGCCGTAGCTTCAGCGGTTAGTTGCTGGCTTCCCACCGCGGCAGCCCGGGTCTGGTCACGTGGGATTTGTGGTGGACAAAGTGGCGCTGGGGCAGGTTTTATCAGAGTACTTCGGTTTCCCCTTACAATCTTCATTCCACCAACTGCTCCACAATGACCCTCACCTATCATCTGGAGCTGGTACAATAGGCCAGAAGTGGCCGCAGCACAAGGGACTTAGTCCCACCCCACTAGCAATAAAAAAAACTTACGCCTTCATCTCTATGGACAAAGAATAAGCCAAACAAAAAAACAGCAATAGGAGTTAAACTCAATTTGCTGTTTCGGCTGGTTTCTTGCTTGTTTACTCTTCTGTCGTGAGGTTGGAGGCGAAATGTTCCTCGGTAACGTTGGGCTGTCTCCGAAATGTACGGCGTTACAATCCAAAAGACCGTACTCTTTATTTTGGTTTGTGTTCAGTGACTTTCTGTTATCGGTGAGGGTGAGCCGCCAAGTCTCACCGAGCCATGTTCTGTTCAGACACAATAGTCGAGCAGGAGAGAATACAGGTCCATTAATTTATAATGGCAAATGCTCCATGATGAATGAAGCCATTATGCTGGATCTTGTGGTCTGTGTCAATCGCGCCTGGTTATTATGCAATGACGTTGAACTGTTCACCATTCCCGTATGAAGCGAACAGCCTGTTGCGGGCCGGTAGACAGCAGAAAGAATTTTAATGCAACGAAACATTTTCTCTTGTTGCTTCAAGTGCACAATTATTTTGAATTTGTTATCTTGATCAAATATTTTGGAGCGACAGCAACAGGTCAAAATTTTATTCACGAGAAAAGTGAGAGAAGGGTGAATTCGGGTAGTGCTTGCTATCATTTAGTTCAGAACCTTATGTCTAGTCGTCTGTTGTCTAAACACTTAAAAACTAAAATATACAAAACTGCAATTTTGCCCTTCTCTGATATTAATGGAACAGGATACAGAGAAGAATATTTGGATCGAAGAGAGCTGAAATGGTAGGAGGTTGGAGAAAACTGCATAATGAGGGGCTTCATAACTTGTACTCTTCGCCAAATATAATTAGAATAATCAAGTCAAGGAGGGTGATTAGGACAGGACGTGTAGTACGCATGGGGAGAAGAATTCATACATGGTTTTTGTAAGAAAGCCAGAATGAAAGAGACCGTGTACACTTTTCTTTCTGTCGCTCAACACCGCCAAACAGTAATATCTGGTTTTTATTCCTAGTTTATGCTCGCAATTAAGAGCAAACCAAAAGCTCTTTCCCTCGTGCTGGAGTGAGATATTGCACTTGGCGCATGCTTGATAACAGGTCAGTATTCACATGTGCAATAAGGCAATTTAACTGTAAACTGGGTGCAGCCGATGTTTGCTACAACGCCCATTTCTTCTGACCGACCAAGTCCCTCTCTGCAGAGTTCTGTATTCTGGGCTCTAAGCCGTGTAGTCCGTTAAAAGGCAACCGACGATTTGGAGGAACCTGTCACCTTCGAAGAATAAGCCAATCAAGAAACAAGCATGAAGCAGGTAGCAACCTGAGAGACACATTTCTCCGAAACGTCGATTGACTTTCAACGGACGGCATGGCATTATATACCAGAAGATAGAAGCATTCTTAATATCCACCGCTGCGAGAACGTCAAATCCTACAATCACCTTCCTCTTTTCTCTGCCGTACGTCTCCATTTAAAATTATGAAGAATTTACGGTTGAATTCCATTCAGTTCTCTCTGAGAGCTGTGGGGGTCCAAAGCTCGGACACAGTTGTAGTGCTACAACTGATACACCACAAATGTTGTGATGTCGTCTCCCTAAATATTTTGAAAATACTCAGAGGCTTCTGAAAAACGTACTCACGGACCCGAACCCTTCTTCAGACGCCACCAATTGTACAGCTACTCAAGAACTTCCCAGCATTTTATGGAACTCGAAAGTTCATTACCGTGCTCACAAGAGCCCTCCACTGGTCCATATCCTAATCCAGAACAGTCCAATCCATCCAATCCTATCTCTCTAAGATCCATTTTAATATTGTCCACCCACCTACGTCTTGGTCTTCCTAGCATTTCTGGTACAGTATTTTATTTTCTTATAATTGTCTGTCTTGTAGCGAAAAGAAAACTGAAATTGCTAACAGCATAGAAGTAGGGCTGTATGCATGTTGAATGAGTTGGGAGGCCGCTGCTTCCAAGTGTAGTTTTGTACATACTAGCGGTAGTTTGTCTTAGAATTAATATGACAGTCCATTATTGAGGAATGCCCAATTTATTAGTTAAGATGTTAATAACTCTTATCCTGAATAGAAGCATTTTGCCAGCTGCAGTTGAGGAACAGACACATTATCCTCGGTCTAGGTTCTTAGGGCTGTCAGGTTCGAGGCTCTAGTTGCACTGAGTAAGCAGATATCATGAATGGCTGAGAGAAAGAAAGAAATCACTCTTGGAGAAATCGGGTTTGAAGCTGGCCAGGTACTAGTGAAGTGGTTCTTCGAAGGTTTTCAAATAAGATTATGTCGTTTCAAATGATATGCAGAATTTATGGCTTTAATGTTTATTTCTGTCAAAGTTGGTTACATATTTAGAATGTTTTCTCTAAAAATTTGAGTCATTTGTATGCTTTCTTAATAAGTAAACTTGATTCAGAAACCCGGAGGGTTCTTCGGAAGTGAGTGGACTACAAGCCACTTCCTTTGGTATTCGCGTAAGAAGTTCTTCCATCAGTTACTCTGTGACATTAAAGCTTACGGGTAATTATTATAATGTGTCATTTTCAATGAGCGTCCGGTATCAGTTGGCCATGATCTTTGGAACCTTCCTCTAGGTTTGTCCTACACAGAATTCTGTATACCTTTCTCTTCCTTGCCATGCGTCCTATATACCCCACCCATTTTGGCGTGAAGATGAACTGCTTGGCGGTAAACCGACAGTTGTAAAGTAACGCTGACTCCCAGTATCTGTATAGCATCGTATGTGCTTTATCTCCTTAGCGACCGTCTTGACTTAATGAGACCTAACTTACCGCTTATTGTTAGAAAAATTATAAGGTGCTGTTTATTTGCGTGTGAAGTATCCTGTATTGGACCGATACTGACAAAATTTCAACTCCCCCTCACGGAGTTTACTTAGGCTCTAGTTGATAGCTTCGGAAATGATGCGTGCGGGCTAACAGACGTGACTTCTTCATTGTCTTGAGTTTATGCACTTTGTACAAGCACTTAACAGTGCACCGACCTCAGCAACTGAATCGCATTCAACATAAACATGTCACAATGGAGTATTCCTTCAGACCGAGATGATCCGAAGGTTAAGCCGTTCTAGCACGTGGTTCGAAACTCGCTTGGAGCATGTTTCTTGCCTTCATTTTTCTGCTTTTCCTTTTCTTGTTCTGTGATATTGCACGGATTTCTGTGGCGTGATCCTTCTTTCAAACTATTATAAAATTCTAAATATAGGAACCAAAAGCTAGGAGCTGCAGAGACAAGATGTACACGTAATAGTACTGGGTGATTTCTATAAACGAGGATCTTACCATAGAAATGTTGCTAACGTCTTGTAGGGATACACTGGCGAAACTCTTGCATGCAGTGTACAGTGCAAGCAGTAAACAACATGGCGTTAAGTGTATGGTAGCTTGTGTTCTTGGCGAGACGTTACCTCAAAACAGAATCGTTTAAAACAACACAGACTGAGTGCAGTCACCGATTTTGGTGTCAAGCACTACCAAAATCTGTGAGACCCCTATGCAGTCCATGACACTTTCCTTCACCCTGTCAAGACTGGTGTGTGGTGTGCAGTGTGCAGTGTCTCGCAGTAGATTACTGGGCTCATTTTCTTCGGAGACAGCCTTAACTCGGAAGCGCTACATTGACATAGTCCACGAATTCCTCGGACACCTTACTGAAGAGGAAGATGCAGAAACACGGTTCCAACAAGACAGCGCAACGTGTCATACAGCACGGGCGGCTATGCCTGAACTATCCGTGTTTTTGCGGAGAAGGAATAATTTAGAAATAACTGTGGCCCCTACATTCGCCGGATTTGTCACCATCAGATTCTTGTTTTATATGGAGCCATATTAGTTCAGTTTTCTTTATAGTTCCTTGTGGTGGGGCGAGACTTGAGTCCACTTGGTATGTCGGCCACTAACTGGCATATTGTACCAGCTCCAGATGATAGATAATGAGTTTGGAGCAGTATGGTGAATGAGAATTGGCAGGGGAGACCGAAGGTACTCGGAGAAAACCTGCCCCATTGTTACTTTGTCCACCACAAATTCCACATGACCTGAGCTGGACTCTAACCAGGGAGACCACGTTGGGAAGCCGGCGACTAACCACCTCATCTATGGCACGGTCAAGGGGCTATATTATAAACAAAGCAGTGACCCATGCCATTTGGATGAATTAAAAAACAACATATAAGACATCAGTACCGACAATTCACCCATAGACATGCTCCGTCCTGCTGTTATGTACGAAGCACACTAACGCACACTTTCAGAACATTTTGTGACAAGATCTACTGTAAACACCTGTACATACAAACATACATACATAACGTTATTAATATTACTACCCTTAGGTCCTCGTTGAAAAAAATTACGCTGTATTTTGCAGTCTCTTGACCTAATCATTCTCAGGAAATGATACTGTATATGGCTGTAAGTTTTACATGCTAGACTCTGCTGAGGCTGTGAAATACCGTATTTACGCATGTATAGGCCGCGTGCGTGTATAGGCCGCAGCACAATTTTCAGACAGAAATTATAGAAAAAATAATTTTCTTGGAATATTATTTCAGGAGTAGAACACCCTGTATTACTAATTAT